TTTGGGAGTTAGAGCCGGATTTCACTTTAGGCAAACTAGTTCCTTAAGAAACTTGAATTCGAGGTGTTAACGCCCCAAAATCACCAAACAGGGTTCAACCATTCATAAAGTAGGTTATGTCACTCACTCAATATTTTATTATGTTTTGTTGAATTTTCAACCAATTTTTTTGTATTGATAAATTTTCAATCTACACGACAAACACCTTCAAGTACTTAAAGTTAAAATGCCTCGTGTTGACGATCATTACCAAGTTCGTGAACATTTTGAAACTTTTCACATTTGGTTCAAGGAACATGTATGTATTTAACTCTATAGATTCTAGTTACTTAAGTCGAACTACATTTTAAATTTTACATTTTCGTGTTAAATAGGTCCAAACTTTGCGAAGGACTACTGATGTCATACTTTCTGAAGAGCTTATTCTATTGGCAAATGGTCCTCATAACTTGGCAAGGAGGTTCAACGGGTATATACTGAATGGGTTTCGGTATCGAGTAAAGGCCATGGATGATCGTCGAGCCACACAAAATTGTGGTGTAGCTTTGAAGGCAGATACCATAAGTTATGCTAGTCGAAAAGACAAGAATCCTCGTCTGGGGTCTGTGTATATTGTTGAGATTCGATATTCCAATGAGAAGAAACATGTGTTGTTTAAGTGTGATTGGATTGACAACATTTACGGAAAGAAAGAAGATGTCTTCAATTTCACATTGGTGAACTTCAATCATTTGTTGTACCGAGATGATCGAATTACCAATGAACCTTTCATCTTGGCGTCCCAAGCAGAGCAAGTTTGGTATGTTGCAGACCCGTTACAACTAGACTGGCAAGTCGTGGTGAAGATGTCTCAAAGAGGTTTATTTGATATGAGTTCGACTGATCCACAAATCGAGCCATACATGAGCCAACAATTGGAAGAAAATATAATGCTTCGTGATGAAGAAGTTGGTTGGGTGAGGGAAGCTGCAGAAGGGGAAACAGTTGATGTTCAAATAGGCTGATATTTAATCAACATTAGTAATTCAATTAAGGTTGTAGTTAATCATCAATTTCTTAATTTATTTTGTCTTCGTAATTGTATTAGTTCAATTAATGTCATATTATAGTTGATGACAAACCATTCTATGTTTCTAATGTCAATTAGTGTTATATTGCTTGCAGATTATTATGGGAAGGAAGAGGAAGCCTGATCATCCCCGGCGCATGATATCTGATGTGCTACATAACAGGACATTAGTAGCACCACCATCAGAGGAGGCATCACATTGGCCACCATCGGAGGGGCCATTAGTGCCACCACCATCTGAGGGGCCATTAGTACCACCATATCGACCACCATCAGTGGCACCACAGCAGCTACCATGTACTCAGCCTCCACGCCTACCATCGGTGCGTCCACCATCAGTGGCACCACAGCAGCTATCATCATCAGCTTATGAGCCATCTGCAGGTATATAAGTTTGCTTTGATTTGTATGAAAATTATTTACACATACATTTATTTATGCTCATTATATATAACTTGTTTATTCTCATTGTATTTTGCAGACCCTTCGACTTCTTCACAGCCTACCTCAGGTTTATTTGATATGATTTGTATTCACAATATTTAAATTTGCATTTGTTTATTACCATTGCATATTGTTTATTGTTGTTGTATCTCGCAGGTCATGTTAGTTCTTCATCAACCTCAATTAGGCGTGGTAGAGGATGTGCCAAGGGTATTAAAGAGTGGGGTACTGATAAAAAGCTGGACATACAATTTGATGAAAATTACTGTCTGTAGACACCCCATTTTTGACCGACCTTGAGACTCAGACGTCACCAGTTGAGCGCTCGGTGATACTGCATGTTGTGCTCGTTCAGAAGTCTCGGAGTCGCGGCCGTGAGCCCTACCTCTGGATTTCCGAACCCTCTTCTGTGCTTTGCCTCGGTTCGTGAACCAGGCTCGATTTTCTCTGTTTTCTCTTCGCGAAGGGAGGGAGAGGTCTTTTAGACCATCTCTCAATGGCCGTGGGCTACATTTTTTGGCTGTAGGCCATTTTGTCCATTTCGGAGCCCGGTTTCCGGTTTTCGGGACCGTCAGGCCGTGTCCCTCGGTTCGGGACCGCTTAACCATCTCCGTTTGCTCTGAATTTTGGTATACATCTTATTTTCTCCCTTTTGAGGGACACTGAGGTCTGAGAGACCCACTTCGTGGCCGAATGCCACTTTCGTTGTTTAACAGGCAGTTTTCGGGGCCCCGAACTGCGGGTTTTGGCCCCCGAACATTCGTTTTGCATCGGTTTTCGTTCATTTTTGGAAGGTACCTCTGTTTTATCACCAGGAAGGCCGTAGAAGGGTGAGAGGCCAGCAATTGTTTTAGCAACAAGTTATATTCCTCCGGCGCCCTCCGACGCCCGTTTTTCTCACTTCCAAGCTAATGTTGAACACCCTTGGGCCATTTTCTTGAACTTTTAACCACATATTTGTGATGTACACACATGGAAGGACCCTAAAAGTTAGTGGCCGGCCACTAATTCCACTTGAGAAAATTCCATGCCATACACTGCTTGCCCTCTGCTGCTGTCAACTGCAGGATTCTACAGGAAGCAATGGCCGGCTGGCCACCTACAATGCCGACCGACCATCAGTGGCTGGCCGATGGAACAAAAGTTGGCCGATAATCCCATTACCATGGCCGGTGAACTTTAATTCTGGCCGGTGGCATCCCAGAGCACTCAGAGGATGATCCAAAAGGGGTCTAGAGACTTTCAGAATTTTCAGAGGAGCAAGGCAGTGAAAACAGAGGTAGCAGTGCTATGGCAGCGAGTTTCCGGGCGAGGCGAGTCAAGTATGCATCATTCAAACATTCCGAGGCTAGGCTGCAGCCAACTTTCTTCTGCATTTAATTTGTTAATTAGTCAGGAATTCTGTAATAATTAATTTGGTTGTGTAATATTTATTCAGACCCTCCGAGTGAGGTCAATTGTGTAATAAGTGTGCGTAAGTGTGTGTATGTCTCCTGTTAGGGGGTTGTCTCTCCCTTTTGTTTAGTAGCTTGGGGAGCTTTCCAACAGCTAGGAGGCCTCACTTCTCAAGCCAAGAAGCATCCAAGACTTGTCTTCAAAGGTAAGTCCTATTTCCCCTCTTTTGAGCTTATTTTTGTATCATTTCTTAGCTATACATGCTTGCTGTTTTGAGCTCTGACCCTAACTGAAAGTGGCCTTCTTTTGAGCTCTTTTTCACTTTTTTTTAAGGGCCTCTCACTGTTTGAGGTCCCCTTGATACACTTGCGTCATTATCCCTCTTGTATGCCATAATCCTGCATAGTATTTTTGGCCTATATGTGATCTGTTTTGGAGCATGATGTAAACTATAAATAGGCTTATTTTGATCCCCTCTTCAACATTGAAGAAGGGCTCATCACTGTTTGGGACCTTCATGTGCCACTTGTCATTATACCCTTCTTTGGTCCCCATTTTTGCATGATTTATTAGCCTATTGTGCTTCTATTTTTGGGCAATTTTCAGAACTAAAAAAGATCTCATTCTGGCCTCCTCTTCATGTTTCATTGAGGGTGTTTCACTGTTTGAGACATCCTCTACATACTTTGTGTTATATCTCTCTTTTTTTGGCCATATTTTGCATGATATTTTTGGCTTGTATGCATACTGTTTTGGGTCCGGCCATCAACTGTAAAATGAATTATTTTTGGCCCCTCTTCAATGTTGTTGAAGGGCCCCTTTGTGTTTAAGGCCAGAAACCTCCACTTGCTTCTTTGGCCATCTTTTGGCCCATTTCTTGCATGAGAGTTTAGCCATATCTGTGCTGGTTTTTGTGTCTTTCCATAAACTGTAAAAGATCATGTTTTGGGCCCCTCTTAAACTTTGTTGAAGGGCCCTAATCTGTTTGAGGACAGCAGCTGTGAGTTGCTTCTTTATATCGCATTTAGGGCCATTTTTGTATGCTAGTTTTTCCCTGTTTCTGTTTGCTGTTTGGCCATGCTTTGAACTGTAAAAATGCTTATTTTGGGGCTACCTTGCTTCTGTCTTTTCATTCCATATACCAATTATGCATGCTTTGTATAGCTGTAAGCCATTTCATGTACCTAGCTTTGCATTTCGGGAGAAATTCCATGCATCGGGTGTCATTTCGCCTTGTTTCGGGGCTGTTTTACCCCTCATTTTGCTACTGTTTTTTGCATGTTTGCATATCATATTCCATGTCTTTGCCATGTCTCATTAGAGTGGCATTTCGGTGCCTGAGAGTCGGTCTTCGGTTTGCGTGCACGCGTGCATGCATTTCGAGTTGTCTTGTTTTTATCTGATGGCCTCCTATGTGAGTGTGGCTGAGGCCCTCTCATGTTGGTGTAAGACGATTATTGCATTGCGTATGCCATTTCATCCATAGCATTGTGTATGCTCGGTTATATATTACCTCGTGCAGCGTGTATGCCATTCCATAACATTGTGTATGTTAGGATTGTATCTTAGTTGCATTTCATGCATGTCATGCATATTGCATCGTGTTCGGGATAGGAGTTAGCCCGGGCACGGGAAACGAGGTGCATTTCGTACTCCGAGTGATGGAATGTATCTCAATTCCCCAGTCACCGACACTCCGGATCATCCATGATGGAGTTAGGTCTTGTTGTGTTTTCATGTGCATTCATTTCATATTAAATTGTGCAATTCGACTCCTCGGCCATCATGCCTCGATATGCGTGATTGGTGGCACGAGGATCGAGGCATGCATATATTTGTGAAAATACATTGCTATGCCTCTTTCCTGCTCTCTGTTGCAGCAAAATGAAGAATCAGTAACTTTTCGGGGCTTGGCACGCATTTCAAGAACAGGTGCAAACAGAGGCTAATTGGGGCATCCTAGTTGATTTCCGCGCAAGGCAGCCTAAACATACATCATTCATCGGAAGCAAGGCACTCCCTGGCTTGCACGCAAGCTTTACAGCTTTCTTAGTTAATTCGTTAATTAATTAGGAATTTTTACATTATTTGGACTGTAATATTTGGACTATACTATTCTTTTATTCGGGACTGTAATTATTTATTTGCGACTGTATATTTATTCGGACCCTTTGCGCGAGGGCACAACTGTAATAAGTGTGCGTGCGTGTGTTGTATGTCTTCCAACCCCATGTCTTTCTCCTTTTTATTTATCCGCTTATGATTAGGGCATATTTCAATTAGCATACAGTATGACAGCATGTTTGCATCATTCATCTGTTTTGCATGCACCGGGCTCGGCTCATCATACTAACTGCATTGTATTTCAATTTCAAAGTTGAATACTTGTTAGTTGTTACATCTCATGTGCCATGTTTAGAATAGCCGAGCCTGCTATAGTTACATTTTTGCATGTGTTGCATTAGACATTTTTGTATTTAGGATCATGCATGATTTCTAACTAAGTTTCTATTTTGGCTTGGAGTACTCGGTAAGCTTTATGCTTTAGCATCCTTGCATGCGTGTGAGTGAATGCCATGATAGCATGCTTACCATGAGGCTATTTGCTTATGTGATATAACTGCCTGAATGCCTGTGGTGAAGGTTGGGTTATTTGGATTGGAACAAATCATCAAACTGTGAGTTTTAAGCCCACTAGATAAGTGGCAAAACCATCTTTTCTAAGCCCACCTGAGGGTGGCAAAATCTGCATTTTAAGCCTACTTGCGAGTAGCAAACCATCTTTCAAAAAACAAACATGAAATGTTTTGTTCCAATTCAAAGCAACTCAGTCTATACTTGTATGTGTGCGCATCACATAGTAACCTAGGCTAATAACCAGAATAAGAAACACAATGTTTTCAAAACTTGATATCATGGTTAGTAGAGGCCGATCTTTGATCGGGCGAGCGGGGGTGCTCACGAAGTGACCTTCCCCAATCGTACCCAAGTTCCCGAGCCGAGGCAACTTTGGTGATGACGACACGTGGCCTTTAGCAAACGAGTCAGGGTTTCCTAAATTTCCCAAAATAAAATATTTAGGTGGCGACTCTGTATCTGGCAAAGCAGTCCATGTTTGGCACTTCTTTCAAAAAAAATCTGTTTTCTCAAAATGATTTGCTGGATTTGGATTCTTTGGTTCAGATTTAGAACCGTGACAATTTGAGAGTCCTGAGCTGTAGTGACCCAATAATGAACAGAACGGGACTCACCCTCCCGGGAGCGTTCGGGGGACGTCTACACATATCATGGTAGTAGAGGCCGATCCTTTGGTCGGGCAAGTGGGGTGATCATTGCATGACATTTCCCTCTCTTGCCCAAGTTCTCGAGCCGATGCAACTTTTGTGATGACGGACACGTGGCCTTTGGCACAAGTCAGGGTTTCCTAAACTTTTCAAAAATAAAATGTTGAGGTGGCGACTCGATAATCTGGCAAAGCAGTCCACTTTTGGTATTATTTGATTTAAAATCTGATTTTCCAAAATGATTTGCCGAATTGGACTCTTTGGTGTTTATCAGTCTCACATTGCACTTTGTGAGATTAGATTCAAAACCGTAATAGAAGTCCGAACTCTAGAAGACCAATTCGCGCCTCTCCGAAAGGGGGGGCGAGCAAAGAAAGTCGGGTCTACACGATGTTTTTCATGATCGCACCAAACACATCAAGA